TTTTTTAATAGTTTTTGTTTTTATCTTTTTTTGGGAGTAATTATTTTTATTAATTTAATTAAAATTTAATGATTTTAATTAATTTTTAAGCATGTCATGTCAGTTGTTTAATGTCATTAATTAGGGGCTATTCTTTTACTGTTTTTGAGTTAGGTAACTTGAGTGTAGATTTTGAGTTATAACTTGAGTTGAAGTTGTAATTTGAGTTTGTGTTTAGTTGTGTAAACTTGAGTTATAATTTGATATTAGAATTTACTTGAGTTTGTGTTTGTTTCAACTAATTCTTGAGTTGTGAATAGTATCTTGAAATTTTTTTCTTTCATTTAATTAATTTTATGTAATTAAATTTGAATAAATAAAAGTGAATCATCTATAAGTAGTAATAAATTTAAAAACAACGTAGGCATTTTCTTCATTTAATAAATTAAAATACCATATAAAAAATTACTAGAAGATGAGTTTTCATTATAAATGGAGAGCAAATAGTCACAATATATACATAATTAATATCACAATTCTCCATACACTATTATTAGCGCGTACGACGATTACGGTACACTGCCCACATTATATGCGCTCTTGCATCCATTAACGCATTCATCTCCAATTTTGCATTATAATTCAATGGTTGTCCTTCGTAGTTGTTATTGTCATTGATATCCTCTTCAACATTCTGTGGATCAATGTCTGCAACCGGAATGCCATCTTATAAGTACTAATCCAATAGTCTATCTCCATTACGGTACATGTGGATAAAATTATGGACTATAACACATGCAACCAGAACCTTAACTTACTTTTCAATGGGGTAACAGTTAATGCTTTTCAAAATATGAAATCTGGCCTTCCACACACCAAATGTTCTTTCGATTACATTACGCAGGGAGGAGTGTGTATAGTTGAACAATTCACGTTCACTACGGAAGCCTCTACCACATCGATTCCTATACTCTTGCAAATGGTATGTTGTTCCCCGATATGTTGTCATGAAACATCCGTTGTTTGCGTAGCCTGAGTCGACAAGGTAGAATTTTCCTACATGTATTTAAGTAATCACAATCAACAGTTATAATCTAGATGCAGTTTATGAATTAGGTAGATGTAGAATGAGACATTTTTTCCAGTTACCTGGTGGCGGCTTCATAAATCGTTTCCGCGGGTGATCTAACGCGGATGCAAGTACTCTCGCATCGTGTGCTGAACCCTTCCAGCCAGATATCATGTACGTAAATCTCATATCAAATGAGCAAACTGCGAGCACATTAAGCGAAAAGAGCCCCTTTCTATTTCTGTAAAGTTCGGCCGTTTCACGGTGAGGCACACATGGAACGTGCATACCATCTGTGATCTAGTTGAAGGAAATAAACCGAAAGTTAGCAGCTAAATTAAAAACACTCTCAACAATACTAAGACACCACCACTCTGGACAAACAATATCTAGCTTTAAAGTGTCAATGCCTAACCAAGACCTATGAGGTACTAAGAACATATAATTCAAGAGCAGACAAAGATCTCTCTTTTTTGTTTTGTTTTTTTTTTTCTCGTATGTCTTGGTTTTTGCTTAAAACCAACATCCTTAAAATGCATAGCTCCTGAATCAAAAACAAAAATTAAAGAAACTATTTTGAGGTTCTAAAAACATATCTCAAAGCCTCACATCAAGCTTCAGTATTACTAAATAAGTTTCACACTTGTAGTTCCCTTTTCGTGTGATAATCACAAATAATGGTTGGTACATTCCTTTTACTAGTTCTGAGACAAATAAACCATTATCCAGAAAATATTCAGCAACTCTTCAAAGTTCTTGAACAAGAAGAAAATTGAGAAAGAGCAACAATCCATCTTCGGAAAACCTTAAAAGAAACAAAAATATTCATTTTCTCTCTCATCGATTTCTCTTTCCCCACTTTTCTCGGCAACCAAACAAACCAGAGAGAAAGTTAGAAAAGAAAAAAGAAAGAGTTTTTTTTTTTTTGGTTACCATGGGGAAAGTGTTACCAGTTGAGGAGATGAGCTAGGATTCGAGTGCTTACCGAGTTAGAGCCTACAGAGGAGTGGGTTTGATCTGCTCTGAGATTCCCAAAACGCAAAGACTGCTGTCCTTGAGTCAGGTACCGGCGACGACAATGGAGGGGGAAGTAGATTTCACATCGCCACAGGAAAGCACTACGTCGACATAGGAAAGCACTACGTCGAGCCTCTTTCCTTCTACATCGAACTAGGATTGTTGCCTAAGGAGGTTGCCAAAGAGATAGATTTCTACCACCGAATTTCTCCGTCTTGAACGGAGACCAGGCGGCAGAAGATGAGGGGTGTATTTTGGGGCTAGGGTTTCTATCTCAGATTGGGGGAATATGCTAGAATGACTATCCAACAAAGTGAAATTAGCAAAATGACCTTCTTCATTTTTTATGAAGAAATACCACCTAATCATTCTTTGTAAAAAGTGATCATTTTGCAAATAAAATTTTTTGAAAAGTTATTTTACTAATAAAACTTTTCTATTGAGTTATTTTTACAAAGTCATCCTCAGATTGAGGGAAAGACAGCAGAACTCAAAGGGAGCATTTGAGTTATGGTTATGGGGCGGAATTGAAGCGAGTGCAATTGAAGCTTAAAGGAGTGAGTTATGGTCAAAAGGCAGGAGAACTTATAGGAATCTCTCTGTAGAAGCACATGAAGTAGCAGAATGGCGTGTTAGAGCGTTAGAGATGGACGAAGCACGCAATGGTCAATATTAGCCAGGAATCTTCACTGTAGAAATACAGAGAAGTAACTCAAGTTGCAGTGGGAAGATGAACTCAAAACAATGTAGGTAACTCGAATTTATTTTCGAGTTTCATTTTGAGTTTTGACACGTTGAACGTGAATTTGGGCCAAGTTTAACTCTCGAGTGGGCCTTTCTCGAGTAAACTGTAGCAACCGAACATGGCCTTAATCTTTAACACATATTACGTCAATAAAATCCGTTAAAATAATAGAGGAAGTTGATGAAGAAAGCATTTTAAATGATTTTTTATAAATTGAGAGGTGTTTTGAAGCATTTTAAAAAATTAAAGGGTATTTTAAAATAAGATACATAATTAAAGGGTATTTATGAAAATAATCTTAACTTAGATTTTTTAAACGTTTTTATTGTATTTAAACTATAATTTGGTGTGAAAGAGACTATGTAGACCCTCGTTAAGATTGAATATTGTCTGTTTGGTCGTATCCTACTAGTGAAGAATTTTGGCCTGCCATAAATATGCCCCCCTTTTTTGTTAAAATAGTGATTGTCAACGGTTATCTACATAATGGTGCTGTTAAATCTTATAGTATTCTATCAATAAGGATGTCGTGATACAAAGTATTGGAGTGAGTAGTGTTGAGCTTATGGATTGATTCTAATTTTTATTAATTGTGGTGTTTAAAATATTATTATTTTTATATAAGTTTCAATTGTATAAGTATTAGTGATTAATTTTACTATCCTAACTTTTTCCCATCTATTTTATTATAATTTCTAACAATGATGTTAAATGGAAGTAATTTAAAATTTAAGAATAGTGTGAGAATTTTTAAAATTTAAAGAATAAATTGAAAATGTCCCCAAATGTTCATGAGTACCAATGAAATTAACCCAAGTGTTTGCTCTAAAACGTGCCAAGTAGACAAATAGGAGTACCTTTGTCGTATATTTGACTGACCAATAGGAGTACGATTATTCGTTTGGGCAATTATACACCTTGGACAGCATACGGCTTTCTCTGACTACCAGCGACTCTTGTCGTTTTGGTCTCGTTTCCAAAACCAGCAAATTCACTGATTCATAAAACCCTCCCGAAGAGTTTGCTCACCGTTTTTACCCGACCACAGCGCCAGTTTCTGCGTGACTTAATTGACGAATTATTTGCACTTTGAACTTTCTTGGACCGTAATTAGTGTTAAACCCGTACATTAATTCCATTCCAAAACGAGATTCCAGCTCTGCCATTTATTTGTGCCCTCCAAGTGGAGGACAATTTTGTTAACACCTTTTTCTCATTTTTTTTTTATTTACAGTTGACAATGGTTTTGACCTGTATTTTCCTTCGAGAACAAGAAAAAGGCTCCACCACTAAACCATCAAATTTGTTTTTTGGAAGGAAAAATACAAAACACCCAAAATATTTTATCAAAATACCACTTTCACTAGTATGATATCCAACATATATACATACACAATATCGTTTTTCTTACTTGATGTGAAAAATTCAAACTCAAGGTCGTAATTCTAAGATTGGTATGAAATTTTTAACAATCCAAACCTACAACCATCAATCAAAATGTAGGTGTTTTTTACCGTCACTAAAAACGTCAAGTTACAACTTTATTTAAATTTATATTCGTTTGTAAAATTTGAGTTTGAACTTAAGTTTTAATTCAGGTTTTAATTTAAGTTTGAAACTAAAATCTGAGTTCAAATTTTCCCTTCAACTCAAATTTTTAAACTTAAATTCAAATTAATAAACAATATTTTTTCTATTATTAAAAACGTCATAACTTTTTATTTTAATTCCGATTAAGATGATTTTTTTATATGCATTCATAACAAAAAAATGAATAAAACCTCACTCATATACACTATTAAAATTTTTCATCACCATTAAATTTTTATTAAAATACTATTCAAATATAAATTCAAGTTTTGACTCACTTAAATACAAACTCAAATAGATTCTTAATTCAAATCATAACTTAAGTGTGCACATTTAAATACAAACTATAATTCAAATTCAACTCAAGATCTACACTCAAATTACTATAACTCAAAAATACAACCAAATAAGTCTGAATTTTCTAGCTTTTGAATAGTTTCTCTTTTTGTTTTTTGTTTTTTTTTTATCCTTAAATACGTGTTGTCCTCCTTACACGGTAACCTTTGACACCAATCTTGTTTGTATTCTTCCCATGAATCACATCCTGGATGCCGAGACTTGTAATAATATTAACCAGCCAGTAGGAGAATCCATATACGCTTACCGCTTCTTCTAAAAATGCCTTTCTTTACAGGAAACCGCCCCTAGTATCTTCCACACTTTTCCACCTTATAAATATTCCCCACCAAAACAACATCATCACTCACAACTATCAAATCCCACAACAAAACAACTCTCATTTTCCTCTCTTTCTCTCCATATTTTCCCACTACCCAAACAGTCTCTTGATCAAATAAACAAGAAAAAGGCCACAAAACAACACAATATATTCTCGTGATCACAACCGAAAAAAAAAAGGAAAAGAAAACTTCAAACTTTCCATTATCCATGGACACCAAGATAGGAGCGGTGGACGCCTGCAATCCGGCGAGCAACGACGTGGGGGGCCCACCAATCGGCGCCGTTTGCACCATCCAAAGCTCTTCCGTCCCCTCCATAGCGTTTTCCTCGTCGGAGGCCACGCTCGGCCGGCACCTGGCGCGGCGGCTGGTGCAGGTCGGCGTGACCGACGTTTTCACCGTCCCCGGCGACTTCAACCTCACACTCCTCGACCACCTCATCGCCGAGCCTGGCCTCAACAACGTTGGCTGCTGCAATGAATTGAATGCTGGATACGCTGCTGATGGCTACGCGCGGGCGCGTGGCGTTGGCGCGTGTGTCGTGACGTTCACCGTCGGCGGTCTGAGTGTTCTCAACGCGATCGCCGGCGCTTACAGCGAGAACTTGCCTCTGATCTGCGTTGTGGGAGGGCCTAACTCCAATGACTATGGGACCAACAGAGTTCTTCATCATACTATTGGCGTGCCTGATTTCAGCCAAGAATTAAGGTGTTTTCAGACCGTCACTTGTTATCAGGTTCGTAGAAATTTTTACATTTTCTTACTCATTTGGGTTCTTTTTGTTTTGCCATTTGGTATGCATTTTAGGTTCTGTATTGGCTCCATAGTGAATTTTAACCAAGTTATATGTGGATCTAATAGTTGGCTTGTAATTCATAGACATTAATATATGTTTGACATTTACTATTCTTTTTCTAGATTTTAAATAGAAAGTGTTGGGATTTTTTTTTTCTCTGTGCTTTCTGTTTGCTTCTTTGTTTTAGTAGTTTCGAGGAGAAAAAGGTAGAAATGATGTACGTTTTTGTAATGCTAACTCTGTTTTTTTTTTTTTTCCTCTTTTCTTTTCATTTTTCCCCCTTTTCTGGTGAAATTTGCTAATTTCCAGTTTTGTGGATTTTTTTTTTTTTAAAGGCGGTCGTGAATAACCTGGAAGATGCACACGAGCAAATAGACACGGCCATTTCCACTGCTTTGAAGGAAAGCAAGCCTGTTTACATCAGCATAAGCTGTAACTTGCCTGGGATTCCTCATCCTACTTTCAGTCGTGAGCCTGTCCCATTTTCCCTCTCTCCAAGGTAAAATTTCAGGGCCCGTTGTTTGGGAGTGTTTTGAAAATAATTTTGCTTTGGATAATTGCCTTTCTTTTGTTTTCAGAGAGATTGATTTGCGTAAAAGAAAAAAGAATCTGTGTATGAAAAAGGAAAAAACGACCATTTCTTTACCAAATATGAAAACAGTTTCTCAATGAAAAATGTTAACAATCAATAGACATTATTGAAGACATTTCTAAAGAACTAAAATTAATAGCTGTGGCTGATATTTATATCTCATACTCTTTTCTGATGCAGATTGAGTAATCAGTTGGGATTAGAGGCCGCAGTTGAGGCCACAGCAGAGTTCCTGAACAAGGCTGTCAAGCCAGTTCTGGTGGGCGGTCCCAAGCTGCGAGTTGCTCATGCATCCGACGCGTTTGTGGAACTCGCTGACGCCTGCGGCTATGCTCTTGCTGTGATGCCATCAGCAAAAGGGCTTGTGCCGGAGCACCACCCGCATTTCATTGGAACTTATTGGGGTGCTGTCAGCACTGCCTTCTGCGCTGAAATTGTGGAATCCGCCGATGCCTACCTCTTTGCAGGGCCTATTTTCAATGACTACAGCTCTGTCGGGTATTCCCTTCTTCTGAAGAAGGAAAAGGCGATTATTTTGCAGCCTGATCGGGTGACGATTGCGAATGGCCCTGCCTTTGGCTGTATTCTGATGAAAGATTTCCTCAGAGCACTTGCGAAGAGGCTAAAGCGTAATACCACTGCCTATGAGAACTACCACAGGATCTTTGTTCCGGAAGGACACCCTTTGAAAAGTGAGCCTAAAGAGCCTTTGAGAGTCAATATTATGTTTCAGCATATTCAGAAATTGCTGTCAAGTGAGACTGCTGTGATTGCTGAGACAGGGGACTCGTGGTTTAACTGCCAGAAGCTGAAGTTACCACGGGGTTGCGGGTAAAAGCATAAGAAGAATTTGGCACTTCTTGCTAATTGATTTGGTATTAGAATGTACGTTCTGACTAGAAGTTTGAAATTGGGTTTGCAGGTATGAATTCCAAATGCAATATGGATCAATTGGTTGGTCAGTTGGAGCAACTCTTGGGTACGCACAGGCTGTTCCCGAGAAGCGAGTGATTGCTTGTATTGGTGATGGAAGCTTCCAGGTATTCGTTGATTCATTTTCTCTCCTAAATTTACCCAAGTGAGTTAAATCAATAACAACTACTCTGGTTTTAGATATACAAAAACTTGTAACAACATTTCTCGAGTAATAGAGAACTTCAGAATGCTAAATCACTAGTGGTTGCAACTTCCTGCAGCATTCCCTGCTGTTCTAGAGTTTTGGATTGCAGTATTCTACTAGATCTTCCGTTTTTTTTTTTTTTTTTTAAAATGATCATAAACTTGTACCACAACTACATGATTTTGGTTGCTTTCTTTGGGGTAAAAAGTCTTCCTTATCGATTGCCGTATAGGTAACCGCTCAAGACGTGTCCACAATGCTGCGAAATGGGCAGAGGACCATCATTTTCCTGTTGAACAACGGTGGATACACCATTGAAGTCGAGATACATGACGGACCTTACAATGTGATCAAGAACTGGAACTACACCGCATTGGTCGACGCCTTTCATAATGGCGAAGGCAAGTGCTGGACTGCCAAGGTGAGCTTGCTAATTTGCACCATTTTCACTCAACATTGATACTCCTAATAGGGTAATGCTTGATTTTTTATGGACACTTTGTGGGCAACTTTCTTGGCAGGTCCAATATGAAGACGAGCTTATTGAGGCAATTGAGACAGCAACTGGGGCCAAGAAGGACTCCCTGTGCTTCATTGAGGTGATTGTTCACAAGGATGATACGAGCAAAGAGTTGCTTGAATGGGGCTCGAGGGTCTCTGCTGCCAACAGCCGCCCACCAAACCCACAGTAAAACCAATCATGATAACATGTCAAAAGAGTGTTATTCTCTTTAAAAGTTGAACATTTGTTAAAGAATTTTTATCCGTTTCTCCTTTTCCCCCCTTTCCTCTAATGGTTTGAGTAGTCCACATGACTATATTCCTTGTCTTTTGTTTATATGTAATAAAAGAGTGATTATGATTTTCTTCAGTATCATTTCACTTCGTTTAGTTAGTTTTACCGAAGAATAATGCTAAGAAAAAGTCATGTGGTGAGATAGTAAGGCTAGTCATTCTTTTCCGTTAGGTCTTGAGCTTGAATCAGTTTCATTTCAATCCATTTTTATGATGGATTCATATGTCATAAAGATGTTTTGCCTTTCCGAAATTATTTTAGTGTACGTCACCTTGTACTGTTATAATCTTTTTTATCTTCAATCAAAAAAAGAAAAAGAAAAGGAAAAAAAATGTTAAAAGAGAGATGCTAAGTAGGGCTTACTACCTTGTAGCTCTGAACACCCTTAAATCCGACTACAGTATCCACTATTATTGTGACATAAGTAGTGCCAAGAGCAAAGAAAAAATTATGGACAAGTTTGATAGCGAGCGATGAGAATGGAAACTAGACATGCGCACATTTTCGGGTCAAGGGCCCGCCGTTATACTTTTGAGGAAGATCTCTGGTTGGTTGAAGATTTGGCTCTTTCCCGGTACTTCTCAATCATTTTAATGAAAAATGATCTCTCCACTTAATGCATGTGACGAGAGAGCTCTCCACTTTATCTATAACAGGATAAAGTGGCGTTTCCTTTTGTTTGTCACGTCCCAAAATAAGAATTAGTGACGTGGAGACTCATTTAAAAATATAATAATCAAACTTAAAAATAAAATATTAAGAAATTTTCTAAACAAGCTTTACATTTTATTAAAATTAGATTATAAGAAAGTGATGAGTACTTTTACACTTTTCTAAAAAAACAAGTTTAAAACTAAGCATCTAGCATCATTCAGGGTTCACCCACAGAATATACAATAGTGCACATACATAAACATGTAAATAACATTACAAACATCAACCACAGTCTCGATATTCAAAGTTTACAGTCTAAGAATTTACAATCCTTGCATTTTTACTCAAGGATGATGGATACAATGTCCTTACTTGAACAGACGGTAGCAACTAATTCAGCTACTCTGCACTGTTTCTAATGTCGCCTTGGAAGGGTTTAATATTTATAGAAATATAAGAAAAGCGTGAGCAAAAGGCCCAGTAAAATGTATTTTGAAATAAACTTTATAACAAGTAAATAAATGAATAAGTAAATAAATACATATAGCCAGTTCGAACACAACAGCTAAAACCTAACATCATTTTTCTGAAAGGAAGTATAAACTTAAAGTTCCATATTACAGGCATCAGCAAGTAATTTATACTATAATAAATTACTTACAAAATCACAAGCACAAGCCTTATCACCACCGTAGGGGTCCGGTCCGGGTTCCGGGTTCTACCCCCGAGGATACATGCTGCATATCCTATCTAGGCTATCAACAGGCTTACCAGTTCACAAGATATCTTATCTTAAGAAATCATTCATTAAAACTTTGAAATAGTTCATTATGATTGTAATAGCTAAAATCAAGCTATTATGTTAAAACACTTTTTCTTTATCAAACATGTCCTTTTTTTAAAAGATTTGCATTGGCCAAAACACTTTAAAAACAGACTAACAAAGAAAAGGACAGAAAATCCTACCTCTTAAGTACCAAGCATGTCACTAGCGTTGCACTATTCTAGCTTCCGCTTCCTCAAAGCCTTCAATCCGATTCCTCAACTAGCATTGATACAAAACAATGCTTTAGGATTCAGTTCACATTCCTAAAGTAAATCAATCTCAATTATACATTTCGATTTCCTATTAGTGTGCCTTAATCCAATTCTAAGTTTCATAAATCATGTTATGTTTCAAATCATCATTCCAAGGATTTTGATTTCAAAACATGAATTAAAGATGTTAATCTATCTACTTTAGGTTCCCAAATGAAACTAATTTAGGTTCTCTTTGAAAATAAGGGTCAAAACAGGGTTTTAAGGTAAATTCGGCTGAAATCACGTGTGCACTGGTCGACTGGTGACAGAGAATTTATTCTCCACCTGTCGGCCGGTGGAGAAGGAACCGGTCGACCGGTCTGGTCGAACGGTGGGGGCTGCACAGGTTGGCCGACATGGCCGATCTGAAGAAAAGAAGGCCAAAACTTGCAAATCCAAGTTCCAATCCGATATATTTTAAAGGAAAATTACTAAATCCAAGTTCCAAATGACAAATCCAGTCCAAAGAACCAATTTTCTCTAATTTTTACCGTGATTTTACCCAAAATCCATCAAAATCCAATTTAAACTAAAAATAGGTTTTTCTAAAGAAAAGTTTGAGATTCAAAAGAAGTTTTTCAAAAATCTTACCCCAAATCCTTCCCTTGACTTGAAAACTCCTTGAAGTTCTTCTTTTGTTCTTCTTTTGTTCAAGATTTTGGAAGATTTGACAAATTTGAAGAAAGTGAGAGAGAGCATACGAGAGAGAGTGAGAGAACGATAGAGAGGGAGAGTGAGAGGGAAAACGATAGAGAGAGAGAGAGTTGAGGGAGCACGGGAAAGAAAGGAAAAAAAAAAGAAAAAGGAAAGAAAATAAATAAAGAAAAATAAGGATAATTCAAAAGATATTTATAAATGTAGACTAGAAAGTATGCCTACATATACTCTTGTGGTGAAAATATAAATACTGAAAATGTTTAAATCCGTTGGAAATATTTAAACTTAAATATTAGAAACATTTAATGAACATAATTAATTAATTAAACCAGATTAGGCACACTAACAAATCTCAATTATCTTAATTAATCCTGTTTAATTTCTCGAGGTGTTACAGTCTCCCATAAAGGGATAAGGAGGAAAATAACATAATTGCTAAATTAATTTGCAAATTATAACATATTTATTTAAAAAATAGTAAATTATAACATAATTTGATATTTCAAGTTTTAAATATTATTAAAAACTTAAAAATACCCTTAAAATTTCTTTTCCACCTCATTCTTCCCCCCTAAACATCTATTTTTTTTAAAAAAAAAAAATAGTAAATTGTAGCATATTTTTTAAAATAGGTAGATTGTACTCGTCCACTATGGTCGGGACTGGCGGCCAGCTATGGCAACCTGTTACCTTTTTTCAGTGATTGTTTAACACGATATTTACTGGTAAATAACGTATTTACCTGAAAAGACAACCACCGACTTTGGCGACCGTTTGACGTTGTATTTATAGGTAAATATCATATTTACCAATAAATACCGTATTTACTAATAAATATCATATTTACCTGAAAATTTAGTGGCAGTTTTACACTGTAGTTAACTAAATATCATATTTACTAGTAAATATCATATTTATTCAAAAATTTAGGCACCGATTCTGACGACCATTTAATACTGTATTTATTAATAAATACCGTATTTATAAGTAAATATCATATTTATCTGAAAATTAAACCACTGACTCCAGTGACCGTTTAACACTGTATTTATTGATAAATACCATATTTATTATCATATTTATCCGAAAATCCTACCACCAGCTTGGATGACCATTAAACACTATATTTACTGATAAATATGATATTTATTATTAAATATAACATATTCTAAATTGTAACTACTAAATATTTACATGTAAATACAATATTTACGATATTCAAAATTATAATTACTAAAATATTTAAAAGTATTACAAAATTTATCAAATGTAAACTTATACTACTAAAATATTTATTAATAAATATAATATTTACCATATTTAAAATTAAAATTAATAAAATACTAATAAATACTGTATTTTTAAGATTCAAACTTATAACTACTACACGATCACTATAAATACAGTATTTACAGATTCTAAACACAAATACAGACAAATCCAAAACAAAATTATTCTCAGATCACGAGGGAAATCGTAGCCATCGCCCACAGTGGAGATCGGGATGTCTCGCTAGGGTCTCACCGTCCAGAGCGTGAGGAAGTTGCAGATCGTGACTCCGCCGTCACTCGCAAAGTAAATCATGTCGTCGACCGTGACGGCATCAATGCCGAGATCCGAGAGATAGAAACGATCTACTGCTTTGTTTGCCAAGATCCTCCACCGCTTTGTCTGCTGCTGTCACGCTGTGAAGAAGACGATCCCCGGAGCTCAACCGGAAAATGATAGAAATGAGAGGACGCAAAGACAATCTTCCAATGTCATCGCAATGCCGCGACGTCCTCCGCAAAATCACGCTCAATCTAGCAAGATCTTCCTCGCGATCCACCTCCCAACGTCTCTATCACGGCATCCACCGGAGAAATCGCAACGTCCTCCGTCAACGTCACTGGAAGTTTAGCCGCGGGTGAAGAGATGCAGAGGAGAGAGAGAGTCATGGATGAGAGAGAGTCACGGAGGGGAAGGAGGATAGAGAAGTCTCGATAATAGAGAGAGAGATCATGAGGGTGAGAGGAGAGAAATGGAAAGAGAAAGAGAGAGGTGGCTGTGTGAAAGTGTGAAGGAGAAAAGAACGAAATCCTAAATAAAAGGATAAATTTAGGGGAAAAAAACAATTTATTTAAAAAAGACTTTGGAAATATGCTATAATTTACCATGTTTTAAAAAATATGTTATTTTCTTTAAAAGTACGTACGAGATATGCAATCTAGTACATTTTCCCTATTTTAAGGGCTCTATTTGTTTTACTGGTTCAAATTAAATGGTTTTACACTTTTTTACTTTAAATTAGTGGTCTTTAACGTTTATAACTTAGATCAGGGTTTGAATTATCGTTTTAAGTATAAATTGGGAATTAAAGTTCGAAGTGGTGTTTAGTTAAAAAGGAAAATAAAAATGGCATGTGGATAATTTTTGCTGTACTGTTTAGGTTTAAAACCACCATAACTTAAGGGGTAAGTTCCTCAAAACCCATTCAGGATGGGTTTAAAACCCACAGTCCAAGTTCACAAAAAAAAAAAAAAAAAAAAAAAAAAAAAAAAAAAAAAAAAAAAAAGAAGAGAGAAAATTATAAAATTTATTTTTAAAAATGTATGAGTTTATAAATTTACCATTTATTCTTAATTAATATCATTTTATCAGTATAATTATTTAACTAAAAAGATTATTAATTAAGAGTAAAATAAAAAAATCTTGACCCATATACTTTTAAGAGTATTTGTCTCATTCTCTTAAAAAAAAATAAATAAATCAACATTGGTTCAAATTAGTTCATTTTAAGACCTGATGAACTCATAAACCAAACAGTCTTAAAATGTCATCCAACGGTCTAAATTTATTTCCCACATAGATGATTATAGAGA